CCAGAAAGGGCTATTTCGGTCGCCCCTTGTGTTTTTTATTAGGTTATTCTGCTCTTCTAGCTACGGTGAAAATGTTGATTAGCATCTAGAGTTAGCCCAGGGCAGAACGGGACCAGCAATTCTCGAACCCAGTCGGGAATGACTGACCTCACGGTCTATCACCCTCGTATTTAAATCACATTCCCGATGTCATCTGGTTGAGGTTCCGAGAAAATGAACGAAGATTTTGCTCTTTTAAATCCTTCAGAACAAACCTTTTCAGACCAAAGGAAAGGAGACGTCTTTCAGGGCAAGGAGCACTCAGATTTTAAGAAAAGGACATAATTTAACTTGTACCTCGTTCTTATATAAATACACTTTCCGGATGAGAATTTATCGAGGGCTTAATAATGCTCGCTAAATATTCCTGTATCATATGATCACATAGACCAAACCATCATAGACAGCCTGCGTATGTCCGTGTCGGAGAGACGTTTTGCTCTTTCAAGAACACTCAGCCAGTCAAAAAAGTAGTAATGTTTTTGTATTTTTCGTTATTTTTCATTGTCTTCCCCATTTCACCCATCCACTGCCTTATTCACATTATTAATTTTTAAATTAAAGTAGGCCTTCTTTTTTAAGCAGTCCTTTCGCAACGGCTGTGAGACTGTGGGAAAGTAGCATGGATGGAGTTTTTTTATAACGAATCTTGTGGTTAGAAAATCTACTGTAAACTACATGACCCTGATTCTGTATGGCGAAGTCGGAGGTTGTTTGACATCATGCAACTATATCATGTTATTTAGTATTTAGTATTTAGTACTGAACATAACCTTATATTATGTTGCGTTGTGCTGTGGAAGCAAACGAATATGTGCAAGAAAATTGTTAAATATATTCCTTCAAACGATGGAAAATGTAGTCCTAGTTTGGTTGAATCGGTTGGAACAAATTTTGAGGAATCACATTTTTTTAGAAACAAGAAATATTTTACTTCTCAAAGCTTGTCAAATTTGTAGCTAATTTAAACAGTTGCGGAAGTTAGAACTTTTTTATAACGTAGGTATTTCTAAACGAGCTATTTGTACCTTTCCTATTTATTTTAAAGTCTTAATTCGCTTAAGGCTAGGCATTATTGTTTCAAAACGTTCGTGCATGCGGCAATGCCCTTTTTATGAGTGATTATCAATCCGACGCAAACTCTGACAGTTTTGCATAAGTTACAGTCTATTCTACGGGCAAACAGGCTCAATAAATTAATAGAAACGAACATGGGGAAAAGGTGAGCAGTCGACTCCCTTCAGTCTGTACACGAGCGCACCTTCAATGTGATATCCACTCTGCAAATGTAACGTCTAAATTGTATCCTTTCACGAGTACAGGACCAATTTTCATAATATGATTGCATCAGGTAGGCTCAATACCGATGAAAAAACTATGCGACCAGAAATTTCAGACGACAGTGAGGGTGTACGCGAGCGGCAGCAATTTACCAGCTCTCACATAGATCCGGAAATATGGAATTCTGGCGTTGGAAAACTAACAAAGGGAGAAGGGACTCGGTGGCTTTCTGCAAAGACCACATTTTAGCTGCTGCAAAAAATCGTGGCTTGACGTCACAAATATGAATGTAGGTGACCAGGTGTCATCGAACACTGTTCGCTAGAGTTCACAGTCATTATTTCGTGCACTTCATTTTTTCATTTACCCTTATCCCTTCTTTCTAAATGTCCAAAAAGTATAAACTATCTTTTGTAAACAGAACCTAAATATATGAAGAAATTTGATACTGAAAAAGTGAGGAGAACATGCATCCAGATGAA